TGTTTATGGATTTGTCTAATCCTAAGTTGACCCCAAGATCCAAAAGTCCTGTATGACCGCGCTTGTGTGTACTTTCTGTATAGATGGCTGTTTTTCCGGTACCAACGTTGACAGATGGTCCAACATTAACACCAAGGTCTAACAATGTTACATTACAGGCATTCGCTATAATTTTATTACCAACTTAGTCATTAAGCTAAATTTCATGTGCAGCAAAGAGAAAAATTCTCATAACTTGTACTAATCAACTCAAAATCTTCCTAAATCGTTAAAGTCCTATAAACTAACACCAACCTGAGCGTCTAAATCTATATTAACTCCAACGCTTTGTAAACCATCTTTACCGCAGTGACTTGGAATTTTTACACCTGCAAAACCAACATTTTTTTTGGAATCCAAGTCAATAGATTTGACTGATCCTAAGTTGACAGCAAAATCTAAAAGTCCTGTATGACCGCGCTTGTGTGTACTTTCTGTATAGATGGCTGTTTTTCCGGTACCAACGTTGACAGATGGTCCAACATTAACACCAAGGTCTAACAAACCACCTTTTTTATTGTGACCCAGATTAGATCCACCGCCAATACCAATGGTTTTGTCAACATTGGTGTTTATGGATTTGTCTAATCCTAAGTTGACCCCAAGATCCAAAAGTCCTGTATGACCGCGCTTGTGTGTACTTTCTGTATAGATGGCTGTTTTTCCGGTACCAACGTTGACAGATGGTCCAACATTAACACCAAGGTCTAACAAACCACCTTTTTTATTGTGACCCAGATTAGATCCACCGCCAATACCAATGGTTTTGTCAACATTGGTGTTTATGGATTTGTCTAATCCTAAGTTGACCCCAAGATCCAAAAGTCCTGTATGACCGCGCTTGTGTGTACTTTCTGTATAGATGGCTGTTTTTCCGGTACCAACGTTGACAGATGGTCCAACATTAACACCAAGGTCTAACAAACCACCTTTTTTATTGTGACCCAGATTAGATCCACCGCCAATACCAATGGTTTTGTCAACATTGGTGTTTATGGATTTGTCTAATCCTAAGTTGACCCCAAGATCCAAAAGTCCTGTATGACCGCGCTTGTGTGTACTTTCTGTATAGATGGCTGTTTTTCCGGTACCAACGTTGACAGATGGTCCAACATTAACACCAAGGTCTAACAAACCACCTTTTTTATTGTGACCCAGATTAGATCCACCGCCAATACCAATGGTTTTGTCAACATTGGTGTTTATGGATTTGTCTAATCCTAAGTTGACCCCAAGATCCAAAAGTCCTGTATGACCGCGCTTGTGTGTACTTTCTGTATAGATGGCTGTTTTTCCGGTACCAACGTTGACAGATGGTCCAACATTAACACCAAGGTCTAACAAACCACCTTTTTTATTGTGACCCAGATTAGATCCACCGCCAATACCAATGGTTTTGTCAACATTGGTGTTTATGGATTTGTCTAATCCTAAGTTGACCCCAAGATCCAAAAGTCCTGTATGACCGCGCTTGTGTGTACTTTCTGTATAGATGGCTGTTTTTCCGGTACCAACGTTGACAGATGGTCCAACATTAACACCAAGGTCTAACAAACCACCTTTTTTATTGTGACCCAGATTAGATCCACCGCCAATACCAATGGTTTTGTCAACATTGGTGTTTATGGATTTGTCTAATCCTAAGTTGACCCCAAGATCCAAAAGTCCTGTATGACCGCGCTTGTGTGTACTTTCTGTATAGATGGCTGTTTTTCCGGTACCAACGTTGACAGATGGTCCAACATTAACACCAAGGTCTAACAAACCACCTTTTTTATTGTGACCCAGATTAGATCCACCGCCAATACCAATGGTTTTGTCAACATTGGTGTTTATGGATTTGTCTAATCCTAAGTTGACCCCAAGATCCAAAAGTCCTGTATGACCGCGCTTGTGTGTACTTTCTGTATAGATGGCTGTTTTTCCGGTACCAACGTTGACAGATGGTCCAACATTAACACCAAGGTCTAACAAACCACCTTTTTTATTGTTGCCCAGATTAGATCCACCGCCAACACCAATATTTTTGTAGTCATTTGCGTTGACAGATTTTTTAGATCCCAAATTGATATCGATACCTAATACACTACTTTTTGTGTCTTGGACTCCAGTACCAACACCAAGAGCTATATCAGCATCAACACCTAAATTAATTCCAAGAAGTTTACCAGCTGTTGCGGAGGCAACGACAGCGGCCAAGACTAATAACACCTGTAACATCAAAACAAAAATGCCATACATTGTATCGACAGGATAAGGAACCAGCCAATATCAGTCTTTTTAATTCTACTTGTGAAAAATTGAAGGCTATAAGGGCCTCTTTTTATTGTCAAAAATAATGTTCTCTTGAAATTTTTATCTTTTAAGTTAATTAGGTGTATGTAGTATGTAGATAAAACTTGATGTTTACAATAATGTTACATGCATAGAAAAACATTCGTTTCATACCGATAAATTAGCCTTGGATTTTATTGTACAAATATTCATATATATTTATTAGATCTAAGCTTTTTTATGGATGGTATCATTATATACAGGTACAGTGAAGTTTTATCCAGGTAATTTCAATAGTTATAAAGCTTCAGAACTAAAATGAAAACGTGAATACATACTTATATGTTTGTAAAACTTTGCTAACGTTATCAATCCACGCGCGTTTTATCAGAAAAATTTTGTGCCTTTTTACTACGGCAAAAAATGTCTTGGCTTTTCTTATGTAATATTATATTTTTTAATAACCGTAAATTAAAAATATGAATATGTGTATCTATTCGATATTAAAGAAAAGAGAAACAGTAAATGAAACTGGGTGATTTTCAAAAGAAAAAATCAACAAAGATAATCAGATAAAAATAGGATGTGAGGAGTTTAAAAAAAAAGTGAGAATTAGTATTGACAATTGAAAAGAGGAAAGAGTTTAACGAAATATCAAAAATGAAAAAAGAAGGCCTATGTATACACCATAGGCAAGCGAAAGATCTTCTATAGGTTTGATAGACGAGAATTTTCTCACAACTATCGATCAATAAAAAAATTCTGGGATTGTTCAACTGTCCAAAGGAACGCACAGTTTAATATTTAGTTAAGTTTCTAGTGAAGAAAGACGTACACGGATGAGATATACTAATATGAACCAATGATATTAAATAGAGACTGCAGGGAGAAATGAAGGACATCGTAGGATGGTGGAATGATCATAAAATTGGTACAATTGACTGTTTTTGAAGCAATCGTTTGCAATTGATATATATATATATATATATACAAATGTCTACTTCTTCTTANTTTAGAAAATCGAAATATGTATTGTGCATGTAATAAGTTATATTATGGCATAAAGTATACTTCGTACCTTATTAAAAACACAATCAATATAATAAAATATAATTTTTTATTTATTTATTTGTATGATAGGGCAGTTGCCTATTACAATTTTTTGAATATTTTCAAAAATCTCATTTTTTAAATCAAGTAAAGAAAGAGAACGCAAGTAAAAATAATACGAAGAACTGTTCATGGTACTTACCAGTCCACTCTTCATGTTTTTGATCCCAAAATTTTTGCTTGCACGATATTTTTCGAGAATTGCTACTTTTTATATACCTAAATTTTATTATTTCGAAAAACATTTCTCTTCCAATGTTTTGAAGTTGGTCTGCTGCACTGATCATTTTTTGCCTTGTCTTTCAATCGAGACAATAATAAAACAATACGCTCATACGACATTTTCGACAGTATAAAAATAAATAAGTGAAAAACTTATGTTATTGAGAGAAAAGAAAAACATTTTTTTTAATAAAATGATACAAAAAATTGTGAAAAGAAGCAAAAAATAAGGTTAAAAAAAAGTTACGTATAAATTACCTAGAAAACATTGACGTTGCAAAATATTTGCGTCGTATTACGTCAAATTTTCATCAGACGATTAAATTCAAACTGACGCATACTGATATTGATTCAATTAGTTTGAATCAGTGGAATCGTCAACTGTGTTGTACACTGTGTATGTAATTATGTTGTGTTATAAAATTTTTTAAATATAATACTTAAAAGATTAAAAATTTGAAAGTCGATGATCGTCAAAGAGAGAGAACTCGTGTGTTTGAATACAATTTTGTGAAGAAGTCGAAGAGGAAATGGATGTCCACGAGTTCTACACGGTTCTGTCAGTACTTTCAGTAGCGATACTGACGTAGGAATAGTGGAATGAAGATTTCTTCTTTTGCAGTGTCTATTAAATAAATGTTTTGTTTAATAACTCCGCAAAATAATAGTTAAATGGTGGTATTGTAGTTTGTTGGCTGTAGTTATAATTTTATCACTTGCCATTTACTATAGTAATAGTTTAATATATTAAACTTATTTTATCATCATAGGCTTTTAAAGAATATTTTGCTTCCTCATAATTTCAATCAAAAACGAAATGCAGCTGTGTTTTATTTTTAGGTGATCAAAATAAGTCATTCGGGAAAAATAATTCTCTCTTTCTCTCTGTATACATACGTATTTATGTGTGAGGTAATGTCTTGTTATGGTCTGAATTTTTTTTTTTCATCCTCACAGCAGTGCAAACATAATACAATTTTGTACCATATTGAGGTGTAGACTACGTGTTTTTTGATTTTTTAAAAAAAAGTGTTTAACAATTTGTGTGGTGAAAAAAAGTTCAAAATAATTACATTTCATGAACTATAATAGTATATCATTTTATTTCGATTAGAATTAATTATGTGGTCAGAGTTTTTTTTTCAATTAAAGAGAAAATACGATATTTTTTTCGAATCATGAATCGAAGCAAATCATCAACTTATAATAGTGCAATAACAATTTTTATCAAATACTTGTTAACTTGAATACAATCTCCAATTTTAATAAAAAGTAAGTAGATCAGTTATTTACGAACAAATTTTTTTTTTTTTTTTTTCAAAATATTTATTTCTAAACGAACTTCTAATGAAATCAATCGTATTAATACGAATAACTTTTGTTCGAGGACATTGACTTGCTTTTACTTTTATGATACTCATTTTGCCATAAGGTCTAGAAAATCAGTTTAACTGGAGTAAATTTATTAAAAAGTTGTTGTTTTGCCCCCTCCCCCCAAACAAAAACTAAATTAAAACTAAAAAGAGAAATTATCAGAAAATTCAGTAACGAAATTGAAATAATAGTAAGGGGCAGCAGATAATAGTAGGTATATAATAGTAATGATAATAAAACCAATAAAAAAAATTATAATGTCGATGATAATTAGAATATTATTAATGGCCATCAAAATCTTTGTTATCGTTATTTTTACCAATTTGTCTGTAAAATTTCCGTTTATTTCGGCTGTCTTATACGTACTTACATGTATATACATTATTGCAACAAACGATGTTTATTATACTCCTCAGCCCTTAAACCAAATGACCTAGGATGTAGAGTTCAATTAGTTAATAATTTCAATTTTTTACTATACTCATCACAAAAAATGAAAAAAATTGTAAATCATTTAAATAGTATTTTTAG